AGCGTCCAAGGGAATGACTCTCAGAGAGGTGTAGGGTAATCATTTAATATTATCATTTGAAATGGATTTCCAGTGGATCGATGTTATACAAATATTAAATCGATTAATACAGTATCATTCAACAATTTTTCACCATGATGGGTTAAAACTTGAACGATTCACATTTGTTGAATTTGTTGACCATTTTCCCTCAGTTTCCAATTTCTGCAGGGCAGTCCCAAGTAGCTGCGCCCGGCCAAGCCAGGCTTCTCAGAATTTGCTGCGTGCAGAGCTACAGTCAGCCAGAACTGAAGCCAGTGACGAGCGCTGGCAAAAGGAGGACGCCTGAGGGTTTCAGAAAGACATGGAACGATGAAGCCGTTTCTGCTTCATGATGTTGTTTCATGTCGTTTCCAAATCATGGCAAAAGAATGCAAAAGATGGGTTTTCAATGGTTTAGATATGTCTAGGTGAGATTCAGATACTGTGATATGTGTGATCAACCTGGCTGATGGTGCGTCTATAGGTAGATGGTAACAGTTAAGTTTTTTTTCCGTTGGATCAGGAGATGGAGAAGGACCTCTCTTCTCAGCTTGAAGCTGCCCGTGTTTGGGCTGCATACTTGTCATTTTTCGTGCATGTGTGTTTTTTCCGGAAAAATGCTACATTAAGTTCTCTTTGCAGGCTATCATGTACAGTGACTATTTCAGTGGCGCCTCCCTCGCTTGGCCTAGTCTAGGTTTTCCAGCCTAATTGATAAATGCTATCCGGCGTAAGATTTAGCACAAGAATGTGTCGCATTGTATGATTTGTATGGAGGTGGTGCTTCATGGGCCACAGAGTTAAAGTCCAATGCACCTTGTTTTTTTTTCGAAGGCAAAGCTCGGGCAGATTGCCGTGAAGAAATGGACGCCTTGCAAGATCAATTGCGGCGGACCCAGGCACTACTGCGCATGAGTCATTACTTATAGGAGGTAATAGGAGAGTCAAATTGAAACAGAGCCAAGGCTTCAAGGTGACAATGCTTAGACCATCAAAAGCCAAGGAGAAAAGAATAACTATAATTTTTGCACAGTGCCATATTATAATGTTAACAGACACTGCAAACAAGTCTGAAAGCAGCGGCAGAGCTTTTCGCAGCTGCGAAGGATGATATGAAATCCCTCCAGAAGCAGATGGCTGCCTTGAAAGAGGAACACCGAGCTGTAGCCAAGGCTGGAGTGGCTGGGAAGGCGGTGGCCAAGGATGGCCAAGGTATGGCTTCACAGTGTGCGACTGTGACGCCAGGAACGAGATGATCTTCTACAGCGGCTGGAAGATGAGCAGGCGGAAATGTGCCTTGCCAAAAAGTTGTGGGACATAGAAGTTACATGAAGTTACATGAATTTAGTGGGCACTGGGACTTTAGAATTTCTAGAGGGAATGGAGGTTTGGAGGAAGGTCAGACAAGCTGAAACATCTTGGGGGCCACGGACATGCCAAGGATCGCCCGCGTGGCTGCTATGGAAGAACAGCTGTCAAAGAGGGGCAGGTAAAACAGCTCCTGAATTGACCATGAAACTGTAGGATACTGTAGGATACAATTACTGTACAGTTACAGAACCTCCACGTTTGGATGCGGCTTGCCCGGTATGGTGCACATATTCAAATATTGATGTATACTAAATACTGTAGTGAGTTTCTGTAGTGTTGCTTGTGCTTGACCGGTATGGGACAAAGGCTTGTGACATCTTGTGACTAAATATGCGAGCTGACATGCTGGAATGGGAGCACATGTTGTTTTTCGACGAGATCTTGCTTGCAGATCATGTTTCTCTCTGAGTCCTTTTGCTCATGACTGACTCAAACCAAACAGAAGCGGAGTGCAACGCACCAATCGATAGCCCAAACTGACAGAACGAGACTTCAAGAAAGAGTGTTTTTTCAAGCACCATGGTTCAACGTCAAGTCTGCAAGTGAAACTTGTCAAGGAGACGCACATCAAGCGCTAATCATGGCGCATGGCCGTGTGTCGAATTCAACGTGTTTCACTTGAAGGTCCATATCAAGGGACAAGAGAGGAGGCAAAAAAAGCAAGCAGCCAGGGTTTGCATGCACTTGATCGCCACATCATTTATGGTTCCATTCTCCGAAGCGAATATGCGAATAGCCTAGCTATTCCTCAACATTGCCACAAGCATCCAGCTTAGACAGTCCAGTTCAGAAGTCCAGTTGCTTGTGCAACCGGCTGCCAGACTCAATTGTACATATTGTACATTTCACGAGTTTTTCATTATTATTGATAAATATATTAAATATCAAAAATTATCCAAAAAAACATATACTGTAGCTATTATATGTGCATATATGTGCTATTATTGTGTTTTATTGCTTGGTATTGCAAAGAGCTCCCCTAATCGCCATGCTTCGTTTGCGGCGCCTCACTGGAACCCTAGGCCAAGGGAAGCCCTGGAGCCATGGACGCCGGGCATCAACTTTGGATCCAAAGGCTGTGGCAGCCTTCGCCGCATTGGAACATGAAAATTGGGAGAAGGCCAAGCGGTTCAGAAACGGCAGTGTAAAGGATGTATTTTGGGACACAACAGGATTTAAGATGATTTAAGATTGTCAAGATATTATTAAAATGTATGTGATGGAGTGATGGTTTCGTACAGGTGGACTGGGTGAGTACAACTCGAGTTGTACTGATATATATATATATATAAATATATATAATTATATGGAAATTTGCACAACTAGGACCAAGTTGTTCAATGTTTTAGATGTGAAATCGATGCGAATTGTCATTCACGTGCAACGGCATAAGACCACTCCGAAAAGGCCGTGCTGGCCTACGACAAAGGCTTCGGACCTTTGACGCGCCAATGTATCCCCGAACTGTTGGATGCTGTTCACTGCAAACCTGGCAGCAGGCTTTTGGATGTTGCCACAGGACCTGGATTTGTTGCAGAAGCTGCAGAAAAGGCTGGAGCATCGGTGACTGCCATGGACTTCTCTAAGAATATGCTTGAATTGGCTGAGAAGCGCTTGAAGGCAGATGTGAAATTGGTCGAAGCAGATGCCGCGGCAATGCCTTTTGAAGCAAGCTCCTTTGATGCGGTGGTGTGCAGTTTCGGGGTGCTCCATTTGCCTGTGCCAGAGGACTTTTTCGCTGAATCGCTGCGGATTTTGCGTCCAGGTGGCCGCTTAGGTTTCACAGTTTGGGCAGCAACTCCAGCGACTGAAGCCATGGCATTGGTTCATGAAGCAGTTCAGCTGCATGGAAATCCCAACGTTCCTTTGCCAGAAGCTCCACCCTTTTTCCGCTTTGCCGATGTGAGTGATACTACGACCACTCTGGAGACCGCTGGATTTTGTGCTGTCGAATGCAAGCAGGTCCCAATGACTTGGGATCTCCTGGACCCCACAGAGGCCTTCGTGACGTTTCGCGACGGGACTGGCCGCACAGCTGCGCTGCTAGCTGGACAGACTGAGGATCAGCTGAAGGCTATAGAAGAGCACATCACCAAGGGTACTGAAGCGAAGAGGACTGGAAAGATGTGCCGATTTCAGATGCCATGTGTTCTCACCATGGCGCAAAAACCATAGATTTGGACTGACCGCCTCAGAAGAAGGCACAATGGGGAGCACAAAGACATGATGACACTATGTGTGACTCTTAAAGTACTTCAAACAGTTGGATTCCTAGTCTAGCAGCACCATGTTCCACCATTGATTGATGCTAGTCAGCCCTAGAAGCGGAGCTGAAATATCGGCTCCAGCTGTGCATGTCACTTGGCATTGGTAACCACCAGCCGTGTGCCCGCTACAGTAACTCAGTACTGATCGGAAGATGTGGGGTTTTCATAAATAGAATGCATAGTGTAGCAATGCATAACGAGCTAAGACTTAACGACAAAGTATGATTGCAGTTGTTGATAGCTTTTGTGAATTCTGCGGCGACCATGTTGCAACATGTTGCAACCTTGCAATGCAGTGGGAGTCTGGAACATCCCCAATTTTACCACAAATGGATACAAATGGGCTGCAAGGATCAGTTGGATCAGTTCAAGATTTATGGCAGGATGCAGTAGGATGCAGTGGGTTTATCAGGGTTTACTGATGTTTACTGCACATGACCTCAGCATACGTCAGAGAGCGACCCACCATGCTGCCAACCATGTTGCGTCCTTGTCAGCTACAGCGCTGCAAAACCTGGGCACTCAGAGGCCCCGCGTCAAAAAGCAGGGGTGGGAAGGCAGGCCTCATTTGTTGCGGCGCAATCAAGGGCTACCAAAGTAGTATCAATATGACAATATGATACAATATGATACAATATATGTATCAATCATATTCAATTTGACCTTCTTATTGCTTTAGATAGAACTATCGATATTATACTGTAATATATTCTGGTGTGCAATGATTGTACTGATAGGGAAGTGTTCAGGGGAAGCCTGATTTGCCGGCCTGTTGTTAGGATCAGCACTTCAGACGTTCCGTGCCAATCAGCTTCGGCCTTTCAGCGACGGCAAGACGGAGGAAGGGGGTGACCGGCCACAGAGCAACGTCGAGGGCAAAAGCTTCAAATCGTGTCCAGTCTAAGCCACCGGAATGCCATGAAGATATGAAGGACCTCCCGGAAACGTCCCTTTCAAATCAGAATTTTTGGGACCAGTAGGACCAGTAGGACCAGTAGGACCAGTAGGATCAAAGATTTTGCCTTGGCATCCCACCCTGAAGGAGTGGCGGACCATCCCAAATGCCTTGACTGGATTGCGATTATGCGCTGTGCCGGGAATCGTCGCAGCATGGCAACATGGATCAGCAGATGTTTGGAGCATCAAAAATACATTTTGTCAATTTTTTGTCATGCAAATACACAAAGAAAAAAGAAAAAACAGGTCAACACTGATCATGATGATGGGATGTTACATCCTTTTTTCTGCTCGGCGCACAGGATTGCAGATGTTTATAGGTGAGCCACCAGCCTTTCCAGATCTTTCCAGAGATTTTTTGATGCAGTGGGATGGCTCAGGTATTGGCCAAATCCTGCTTTGGCAGCGGGTCTTTTCGGAGCAGCAGCCATCACGGACAGGGTTGTGGCGGGCAAGTGCCCCCCACTGCCTCAGAATTTGTCCCCACAGGGCGACCATTCTTGTGACAAACCGGTGTCACTTTCATTTTGGGTGATTACTGGTGCTGTTTGTGCACCTTGTATCGCTGGAAGTCCAGCGATTCACAAAGTCCTTTTCCTAAGGACTTATTTGGTACGGCCTTAGGACTTATATACTGTACAGGGTATCTATATAATTCATGAAGGCCTTTCCGTCCTTTGTTTCTATTTGTGTACAGCAAGGGACTGCTAGTAACCAGTTTTACACTGCATGGATCTGCATGGCTTGTGCCAATTCTGATACCTTGTTTGGACTCCATTGTGGCCCATGGTTTGTGAGATATTTGCTTTGCTGCTTTCTCTGTCCACTGTGTGAGCAGGACTGGTTCGATGGTTATTTGGCACGACGTTGGAATCAACAAACTTCGTTGGGTGCCTTGCTGGATCCCCTGGCGGCAGCCAGGCTCAATTTTTTTGTGCTCAAACATTTGGTTTGCCAAAGGACCAACTTGCTCCCAAATCACCGACAAGCCATGCAAGTTGTACTTATTTTTCCCGAGAGCGCCTGCGAAGGGTTCTTCGTAAAAAAGCAGCCGTTATACTAGATCTTCACACCTTCACACCTGCAGATCTAGATCTTCACACCTTCACACCTGCAGATCTAGATCTTCACACCTTCACACCTGCAGATCTAGATCTTCACACTCTCACATCTGCCGATCTACATCTTCACACCTTCACATCTGCTGATCTACATCTTCACACCTTCACACCTGCAGATCTAGATCTTCAGACCTTCACACCTGCAGATCTAGATCTTCACACCTGCAGATCTAGATCTTCACACCCTCACATCTGCAGATCTAGATCTTCACACCCTCACATCTGCAGATCTAGATCTTCACACCCTCACACCTGCAGATCTAGATCTTCACACCCTCACACCTGCAGATCTAGATCTTCACACCCTCACATCTGCAGATCTACATCTTCACACCCTCACATCTGCCGATCTACATCTTCACACCTTCACATCTGCTGATCTACATCTTCACACCTTCACACCTGCAGATCTAGATCTTCACATCCTCACATCTGCAGATTTAGATCTTCACACCCTCACATCTGCAGATCTACATCTTCACACCCTCACATCTGCAGATCTAGATCTTCACACCCTCACATCTGCAGATCTACATCTTCACATCCTCACACCTGCAGATCTAGATCTTCACACCCTCACACCTGCAGATCTAGATCTTCACATCCTCACACCTGCAGATCTAGATCTTCACACCCTCACACCTGCAGATCTAGATCTTCACACCTTCACACCTGCAGATCTAGATCTTCACACCTTCACACCTGCAGATCTAGATCTTCACACCCTCACATCTGCAGATCTACATCATCACACCTTCACACCTGCAGATCTACATCATCACACCTTCACACCTGCAGATCTAGATCTTCACACCCTCACACCTGCAGATCTAGATCTTCACACCTTCACATCTGCAGATCTCCTCTCGCTCTTCTTCTATTCTCTCTTAAGGCGGGGGCGGTGCCGCCGGAGTGCCACGAAACGCAACCCTTTCGCACGAAATGGACATTGGACGTCCAAAACCTAGGTAAAATTGCGATTTTGATGCGTCGCGCGCAACCCTTTCGCACGAAATGGACGTTGGACGTCAAAAACTGAGGAAAAACTGCAACTTTTATTGGTCGCGCGCAACCCTTTCGCACGAAATGGACGTTGGACGTCAAAAACTGAGGAAAAATTGCAACTTTTATTGGTCGCGCGCAACCCTTTCGCGCGAAATGGACGTTGGACGTCAAAAACTGAGGAAAAATTGCAACTTTTATTGGTCGCGCGCAACCCGTTCGCACGAAATGGACGTTGGACGTCAAAAACTGAGGAAAAATTGCAACTTTTATTGGTCGCGCGCAACCCGTTCGCACGAAATGGACGTTGGACGTCAAAAACTGAGGAAAAATTGCGACTTTGAGGTGTCAATCGCAACCCTTACGCACGAAATGGACGTTGGACGTCAAAAACTGAGGAAAAATTGCGACTTTGAGTTGTCAATCGCAACCCTTACGCACGAAATGGACGTTGGACGTCAAAAACTGAGGAAAAATTGCGACTTTGAGTTGTCAATCGCAACCCTTTCGCACGAAATGGACGTTGGACGTCAAAAACTGAGGAAAAATTGCGATGGACGCTTTCGTTTCTGTACAAGTGTCTGTGTGTAAAAGCGTCTGTGTGTAAAAGCGTTTGTGTGTGAAAGCGTCTGTGCGTGTGTAAAAAGCATCTGCGTGCAAAAGCGTCTGTGTGTAAAAGCGTTCGTGTGTCAACGCGTCTGTGTGTAAAAGCGTTTGTGTGTGAAAGCGTGTAAAAGCGTTTGTGTGTGAAAGCGTGTGTGCGTGTGTAAAACGCATCTGCGTGTAGAAGCGTCTGTGTGTAAAACCGTCTGTGTGTAAAAGCTTTTGTGTGTAAAAGCGTCTGTGTGTACAAGCGTCTGTGTGTAAAAGCGTTGCGTCTGTGTGTAAAAGCGTCTGTGTGTAAAAGCGTTTGTGTGTAAAGGCTTTTGTGTGTCAAAGCCTCTGTGTGTCAAAGTGTGTTTGTGTAAAAGCACCATGTGTAAAAGCGTTTGTGTGTAAAAGCTTTTGTGTGTAAAAGTGTCTGTGTGTAAAAGCGTCTGTGTGTAAAATCGTCTGTGTGTAAAAGCGTCTGTGTGTAAAAGCGTCTGTGTGTAAAAGCAACTGTGTAAAAGCGTCTGTGTGTAAAAGTGTCTGTGTGTAAAAGCCTCTTTGTGTAAAAGTTTCTGTGTGTAAAAGTGTCTGTGTGTAAAAGTTTCCGTGTGTAAAAGCCTCTGTGTGTAAAAGTGTCTGTGTGTAAAAGTGTCTGTGTGTAAAAGCGTTTGTGTGTAAAAACGTCTGTGTGTAAGAGTGTCTGTGTGTAATAGCGTCTGGGTGTAAAATCTTCTGAGTGTACAAGCTTCTGTGTGTAAAAGCGTCTGTGTGTAAAGGAGTCTCTGTGTAAAGGCTTCTGTGTGTAAAAGCCTCTGTGTGTGAAAGTGTTTGTGTGTAAAAGGGTCTGTGTGTAGAAGTCTCTGTGCAAGCGTCCGTGTGTAAAAAGCCTCTGTGTGTGTGTGTGTAAAAGAAAAGCGTGTGTGTGTGTGCGCGTGTTTGTGTAAAAGCTTCTGTGGGTAAAAGTGTCTGTGTGTAAAAGTCTCTGTGTAAAAGCTTCTGTGTGTAAGAGCGTCTGTGTGTAAAAGTGTCTGTGTGTAAAAGCTTCTGTGTGTAAAAGCGTCTGTCTGTAAAGGAGTATGTGTGTAAAAAGCTTCTGTGTAAGAGCCTCTGTGTGTAAAAGCTTCTGTGTGTAACAGCTTCTTTGTGTAAAAGCGTCTGTGTGTAAAGGAGTCTGTGTGTAAAAGTGTCTGTGTGTAAAAGCGTCTGTGTGTAAAAGCGTTTGTGTAAAAGTGTTTGTGTGTAAAAGTGTCTGTGTAAAAGTGTCTGTGTGCAAAAGCGT